AGTAGCGTTCATTTCTACTCCTGCTTGTTACCCATTTCAGCTCTTGTTATAAATTTAATTTACCTTTGAAAGCAGTTTGACTTTCTTTTTGCTTTTGCAAACGTTTCAGGAGGGGAGGTGAGTTGTAAAAGTGGTGATCCTTCAGAAAACAAACGAAGAAGGCATGCAGGTATTATAATTAGCAAGTAAAGAAAGTTTATATTTAGGTTATTTTTGATAACTTTTATAACATCGCTCGCAGCGCCCCGTGGACAAGATGAAGCGAATCCTGTGTTGTGATTGTCTGCCCGAGCGAGCAAGATGGCCCCATCTTGCCCACTCGGGATTGCCCGCATTGATCCCGCTCATGAAAAAGATTGAATTAGAAGTACGTTCGTAATTCTTGGACAATTTCGACGATGGAAACGCCAAAAGCGGCAGAAGGTAGTCAAAACAAAGAAAACAGAAACGGCTCTCGTGAGTTTGTTGTGCTACAAAACACAGTTGGCTTTCTTTCCCGGCTCTCAAAGTAAACAAGTCATTCTTAATTCTTAAGAAAGCAAAATCTTTTTGCAATATGATAAAACCTTTATTAACCAAGCTTGTTCGGTCAAGATGGCTGGATATTAGCCTCGTTCTTTTTTCGCCTTTTTTTAGACCTCGACTTCGTCTCAGTCCATAAAAATGCAAATAAAGAACTCGGCGGATATCCAGCCATCTTTACCGAACAAGCTTGGTTAATAACGCATTTTTATTACATCGCTCTCAGCGCCCGTTGATTGAACACACTTATCAACTACCCCCCTCCCCCTGTCCTCCTATTTATTGTTTTAGTGTTTAGAGACTTTTGCGCAACAAGATGAATCCAAATTTTCTTTATTTACATTTCTACGAAGTTCCTGACTGGTTTAAAACTTTGATGAGATTTAAATCTTACGTTTTATTCCCTCTTATAACTTTCAATTTTTCAAGTCTATCAATTTCTCGTGTCGAAGAAAATGATAAACTTCCTTTTCTAGACTGTCTTAGGGATGATGTTTTTGTTTATATATCATAGTTACAGTGTATTTATCATACTATATCATTTTACTATGGTATTATTCTTTTTCATTGGTGTTATGGTAGCAGCACAGATAATAAGACTCAAGATTTAATTCATTATCCAAACAAAATAGCTTTGGCGAGTAGCAAAGTCGGTGCTACATTCCCAAATGCATCCAAAATGTGCTTCTGGCTTTAGCCATGTGCTGGGTTATTTTATCATTTGTGGCTGTCGCTTAATTACCGGGGTCAGTTACCTAAATCTAACCAGTAAGATTAAAGCAAACAAACACGAATTATTTTCAAATTCTTTGTCATCTTTGCTTACTGTGGTCCCAAGCACTGATTGGCTCAATTGAACTAAGTTGGAAATGTTTGTTTCCTATAATGTGATGTGTTTATCTTTTTAACAAGGAACCAGCAACAGAAGTGGTATTGAAAAAGTTATTCCTTTTTTTTAGTAAAACAGGGCACCCCAACAAAGGATGAACTGGAGAAAGTAGGGAAAGAAATTGCTGGAAAGTGGCTGCAGCTAGGGCGTCGCCTAGGGGTCGAGGATCCAAAACTACAGGACATAGATCAAAGATACAGGCAGCTGCCTGACAAGGGATACTACATGCTAATGACATGGGAACAGGAGAATGGTTCTGCTGCAACTTACGAAATTTTGAATGCTGCATTACAGCATGAACTCATACAGCGAAGAGACTTAGCAGAACAGATTTGTCATAATCGTGGTAATTACTTTCAAAAGTATTGGTTAATTAGGAATAATTTTAAGTTTCTGTTGTTTACCCTTCTACGAAATTCCTGGCCGTTACGGACCGGTTTAAAGTTTGATGAGATGTAAATCTTACCTTTTATTCCCTCCTAATAAATTTCAACTTCAATTATCCAAGTCCATCAACTTCTCTTCTCTCATATAGTCCGTGAGCGAGCTCACACGAGATTTCTATTTCCCTCTAGAACTCATTTCGACTCCTGCTTGACTCTCTTTCTCTAATGTAATGCGACAGCATTAACACCACCTAACTAGTTTGTTTGTTTATTTGTTCGTTTTAAATTCTTAACCTAGTGCCAGCTGTCAGCCATCTCTGCCAAAAAATTAGTTATTTTCTTCGAGTTTTGTTTCATTTGTATTTATATTTATTCATAAACTTAACATGGAAAAAGAGTGAGCAAATAGTTTTAGCCAGTTATGATTTTGATGGAGGGATTATGGAAAAAGGTTTTACGAAAGTGAGGTATCTTCAGAATACTGGTTGGATCTCTGCTATACAGTCACACCTTGATTATTCAGACCTCGATTATCCAAACTGCTTCTTTGATTCCATTGTTCATATTGTTAATAAATCACATCCAAGATCTACACCAACTCTTTACACCAGTAATAAAGCTCCCTGTTGTCTTAGTTTGTGGGTATTACAAATCGTTGATTAAACACGCTCATTAACTGCCTTTTCCCTCCCCCCCCCCCAGATATTGTTTTCGTGTCAAGACTCTTGGGCACAAAGATTAACCAAAATTTTCTTTTTATACCTTTCTACGAAATTCCACACCGTTACTGACCGGAAACCAGACAATGCATTACAAACTCCCAAAAAATATAATTATATATAGTCAAAAGTAGGAGCTTATAATCATGGTAATCACCTTAACATGGTCATATGCAACTTTTCCCTTTAGCAGATATTCCAGCAGAAGAGGAGAGTTGTAAACGTGATGATCCTTCGGAAAATAAACCCAGAAGGCTTGGAGGTATTATAATTAGCAAGAGAAGAAACTTTGTAGTAAGCTCTTGTTTTGATAACTTATATTATTATGCATAAGACTTGCCATGAAAACTCACATTTAACCTTTGATGTGATTCAAGCCCGCGCTGCCCAGATACCTGTTGAGCGCTATTACCAACTGAGCTACGAAGTAGACAACCTGCAACGATCGTTTATTGGCTTCATTTTAATACGCAGTGTAACAGTAAAAAATATTACTGACCTCGACTTCGTCTCGTCCGTAAAAATGTAAGAAAAGCGCTCAGCCGATATCCAGCCTTCTTAAGTTTACACTCAGTCAATAAGGTTGATTTATACCTAACGTTTACATGTATGTAACAGCTTTAATTTGGTTTTGATTTCCAAGACATCTTGCAACTTGCTTGTTTTCCTCGGTATCGTCATCTTCCAATAAGAAAATTGTTACTGATAGTGGAATTAATAATATATCCTGTCAAGCGTTTTCTACATTATTTAAGATGAACAATACGAAAGAAAACGGAAAAAAAACATAGGCCTCCCTTTTCTTTTTTCTTTTTTTTTTTGCGTTTGTGTAAAAAATTGGAGGCCTGAGATATGTCCAAATTCACTTTGGTAACATAACGTAACATAACATAACATAACATAACGTTTATTCAGGAAGCTACCACGTAGATATATATAAAAAAAATACCTCCTAAAAAGGGAAAATCGTGAGGTTAGCCCTGTATAAAAACAATTTCCCTGACTAAAAACATACAATTGATACAATTTAATGGCTACAGACTCAAGAAATATTCAATAAATTTTAAGTCTACTCTTAAAAACACTCAATGATTCGGTGTGTACAATGTATCCTGGCAACTATTCCATTTCCCCACAATGCGAATGAAGAAAGAAAATTTGTAACAATTACAAACCGCTCTTTTCAGGTAAAGTTCAGGGCTCGAATTTAATTTTTGGATCACTAACCCTTAGGGTTAGCAGACATTTTTTTTACTAACCAAATTATCAAGTTTGGTATCCAAGCTCACAAGTTACGATATCTCAAATATTGAACATTTTGATAATAATGACTAGGACAAATTAAAGAGTGGCTGAAATTGCATGGTGACCTTAAAAAGGTTGAAAATTATGCACCTATTTTATTTCCCTCTCGTTTACCATGATTAGTCAAGAACAGTACGTCTCAGTACAGCACATTCTCTAAAAAGAGTTTAACTTGATTAAAAAACTTGAGTATTCTAAGTATTCCTCTGAGAGTAGGGTCTACGTGTTCTTTGTCCTGAGGTCTGCCAATGTTCAAATATGTTAGAAAATTTTACTAACCATGTCGGGTTAGTTGGACACATTTTTAGTAACTAAACGTTGAAAATTACTAACCATAGTTTAACGGGTTACCATTAATTTTGAGGCCTGAAGTTTATAGTCGTGGTTAGCTCTTATACGCCTATTGGCAAACACAGAGAAATCTGGGAAAGAGAGGTGATCAATACCAAAAACTATCTTATAACATTGCACCAGAGATAGAAATTCTCTCCGCTTTTCTAGTGTTTGCTATTTTAGTAAGCTACAACGGTGTTCGAAACTCATTTCGCCACGTTTCTGCCTTAAAGCTAGTCGCGAAGCCCTCTCGGTAGTTTTAATAGCCCATTTTCGAATTACCCTTGGCCTCATAAGATATTACTCACTTTCTGGGTCATCGTCGTATTTAATTAGTCTTAAATCTTTTATCTTTCGTTTCAGTTTGTAGGTATTAAAAATCGTTGATTAAACAAGCTTATCAACAACCCCCCTTCCCCTGCCCTCCTATTTATTGTTTCTGTGTCCAGACTCTTGTGCGCAGTAAGATGAACCCAAATTTTCTTTTTCACCTTTGAACGAGATTCCTTACAATTACTGATCGGTTTGAATTTTCAATTATCCGAATCTATCAATTTCCTTTCCATCTCATATTCCGCGAGCGGGCTCACATGAGATTATCATTTTCTCTCAGCACTTCTGTCGACTGCTGCTTGTTACCTATTTCAATAAGTTAGTGAAGTGTATTTTAATTTTCATCAGAGTTTGACTTTCTTTTCCCTTTTGCAGACATTTCAGCAGAAGAGAGTTGTAAAAGTGATGGTCCTTCAGAGAATAAACGCAAAAGGCTTGCAGGTATTATAATTAACTAGTGAAGAAACTTCGTATTATGCTTTCGTTTCGATAACTTATATTGTTATAAAGCTGGCTGCGCCCGTGGGCAAGATGAAGGAAATCCTATGTTCTACCCGAGCAGGCAAGGTGGCTCCTTCTTGCCCACTCGAGACTGCCCGCTTTGATCCCGTGCAACAGAAAAGGTGCATGGAGTGGACATACAAAGCTCGTAACTTGTGGACACTGTCGGCGACGAAGTCGCAAAAAGCAACAGAAGATACTAGAAACAAAGAAAACATTAAACGAGCCTTTTCGGTTCACAATGCTACAAACACAGTGGGTTTTCTATCCGGGTTCTCGAAATAAACAAGTCATCTTGATTCTTATTGGATAAAAACTTTGATGAGATTTAAATCTTGTCTTTTATTCCTTCCTAATAAATTTCAATTATCCGAGTCATTCAATTTGCTCTTCTCTCTTCTCTTGACCGGGCTCACGTGAGATTTACATTTTTCTCAAGCTCTCATTTTTTTTTTTCGTTTTTCTGTTAAAGACACTTCGGAGAATAATCAAGCTTCCACTGTTGTTCCACCAGCAGAGGATAATAAGATGCTACCTGCTGAAGGTATAAGTTGCGTAACATAGATATTTCTTCATTATTTGATATTTTTGTCTCCATCCTTGGGACTGACAGGTCTGCTTTATTAGAAGTCTCTCAAATGTTTATCTCTGTTAAGGCCGTACTGTCAGCATTTCGAACAGAAGCCCTCTGCACTTGGTCCATACTATTCACGCCTCAGGGTCAAGAAAGCTTGGTTAATTAGCTCTAATTTTATAAAAGAGCAGTTTAATGGCTAGAAATTCCCTATGATTCAAAGTCTTGATGTTTTGCATGCTTTTCAAGGGATTCAAAATTCTCCTTAAGCGCCCAAACAGCTCTTGCTGCGTATGATACCCTCCTTAATGATTTCTAAAAACTGTATTGACAGTTTGAAATGATCAGTCACAAGGACTGCCATCTTGATCTTTCGGAAAACTCCTAATCTGACACTGATGAAGTATTGACAGTTTTGGCCGTGGTGGAACTGGTAATAAAGAAATCCAACGGAGTAATTCAAGCTGTTGGGCGTGCCCCGCCTCCTCCCTCTACCCAGCCCCCCCTTTAAGAATTGAATACGAAAGCGATCTTCACAGTGACTNATAAGTTAGTGAAGTGTATTTTAATTTTCATCAGAGTTTGACCTTCTTTTTCCTTTTGCAGACATTTCAGCAGAAGAGAGTTGTAAAAGTGACGGTCCTTCAGAGAATAAACGCAGAAGGCTTGCAGGTATTATAATTATCTAGTGAAGAAACTTCGTATTAAGCTTTCGTTTCGATAACTTATACTGTTATAAAGCTGGCTGCGCCCGTGGGCAAGATGAAGGGAATCCTATGTTTTACCCGAGCAGGCAAGGTGGGTCCTTCTTGCCCACTCGAGACTGCCCGCTTTGATCCCGTGCAAAAGAAAAGGTGCGTGGAATAGACATACAAAGTTTGTAACTTGTGGACAATGTCGGCGACGAAGTCGCAAAAAGCAACAGAAGATAGTAAAACAAAGAAAACATTAAACGAGCCTTTTCGGTACACAATGCTACAAACACAGTGGGTTTTCTATCCCGGTTCTCGAAATAAACAAGTCATCTTGATTCTTATTAAGGCGAAATATTTTTGTTATATAATAAATCATTTATCGACCAAGCATGTTCGACAAGATGGCTCGATGTTACCCGCCTTTTTTGAGGGGGTTTTTATGGCCCTCGACTTCGTATCGTTCCTAAAAATACAAGAAAAACGCTCGGCCAATATCCAGCCATCTTGACCTCACTCGGTCAATAACGCATAATTATACCTCTAGTGGAAATTGACTGGTCAGTTGTATCAAGTTCCTTTGATATTTGTCTCTATTAACTCCATCTTGTTTAGCTTAGTTTAGTTTAGTTTAGTTTAGTTTATTGAGGTTCGCCAACACAAAATATGTATAAAAAGGTACCACAAAGGCAGGAGGAAAGAAACAGGGCATGCCCCAATTGACATTTGTTACCCTAACAAATAACAAAAATGAAATCACAATATTCTTAAACAATGTTTAAACACCAATGGAAGTCAGGTTAGAAGCTAGGGCGGAAGCACTCTACACCTGAGCCATGCTATAAACTACTAGGGATGTCACATTCTCTCAGCCCAGACTCAAGAAAGCTTGGTTAATTACTGCAGCTTTAATCATAAAATAAAATTGTTCAACGATTGGAAATTGCCTACCGCTTATTGTCTCCACTGTCTCCTCAGTGCTTTGCATGCTGTTTTTGAGATTCTAAACTCTACCAAAGCGGAAAAACAGCTCTTGTTGTTTTGTGAAACTCAGACAATTATTCAAGTTTGATCGGAATATTATCTTAATATGTCTTTTTATGGTTTTCTTTTAAAGACACTTCGGAGAATAATCAAGCTTCCACTGTTGTTCCACCAGCAGAGGATAATAAGATACTACCTGCTGAAGGTATAAGTTTTGTAATATAGATATTTCTTCATTATTTGATGTTTTTGTCTCCTTCCTTGGGACTGGCAGGTCTCCTTTATTAGAAGTCTCTCAAATGTTTATCTCTGTTAAGGCCATACTGTCAGCATTTCGAACAGAAGCCCTCTGCACTTGGTCCATACTGTTCACGCCTCAGGGTCAAGAAAGCTTGGTTAATTAGCTCTAATTTTATAAAAGAATATTTTAATGGCTTGAAATTCCCTATGATTCAATGTCTTGACGTTTTGCATGCTTTTCAAGAGTGATTCAAGTTGTTGGCCGTGCCCCGCCCATNNTACACAATAATTTCTAAAAGACTCTAAATAAATAAGAAAATCATAAATCATGAAAAGAACCAAATCTTGAAAAACACCATCAAAACATGCGTTGAGAGCAATTTGAGCAATTGTTGATTGTTTTGTATGCACAATCAAATTGAATTTATCCCATCTTCATCTAACTTGATTAAAAATAGGACTAAAGTAACCCGTTATTTAACTATGTGCTAAACAAAATAATCGACTGAAAATCGGGCTTTTGGAAGGCGAAGTGTAGTTCCTTGAAAAGAGTCTTTTCAATCTCCAAAAGATTTTTCGCGGAAGTGAATCAGTGCGATTCATTAAATTTTAAAGTTTAAATTTTCGACTAATTTTTCAATTAGTCGAAAATGTACACATCCACGCGCAAACTCGATAGTTTCACATTTCACATCCAAACTACAGCTTTTTCAACATAATGTCCACTTACCCTCTATGTTGCTGTACTACAATAGAGGATTGCAGTCCTGAAATTGTTACATCGCTCTCACAGTAGCGATATAACTCGGAAGAATTGTCCTTCTGATAATGATTGTTTACAAAGCGTATTTTGAGGTTTCTCTACTCCCATTTCGTTGAAAAGGAGGCTGTAATTACTTCAAGGAAGAGATTCTTTGTGTCAATATAAGTCTTGAACCGTACCGCGAACCAAATGTAAGCGGAATGTTGCTAGTTCAGGAACATGTTTCTCAAAAAGGATCGATCTAAATATGCGAAATAAAATAAATTCCTCAAACAAGAGTTTTGTGAAAAGACGAGTGATTCAATTTGTCCACTTTTTATTACTGGCGCTGTCAAAAACGGGCGTTTGAAGCGATTTTCGCTCGGAAAAGTTGTTTTACAGTATTTTGAAAAACCAGAGTGATTTCATTTATTTTAGACTAAGACAGATTCATGGGAAAATTTTGAAAGAAATCAATATTTTGAACCAGAATGCATTTTACCGCTTTTAAAGAGACTGCCTCTCATGATGTTTAGAATAAGTGAGACTTTCTGAAATAGACAACAAAATTTCGTTTCTCTGAATTTCTGATCTGGATGAGTTACGGAGAGTTAACTAGTTAATTCTAGTCATATTTGCCATTTTGACCCCAATTTACGTGAAAAGTAAGCTTAAGTACTTCAAATCAGGATGTAAAAGCGTTTCGTTTCTTAAATAGAAGGTTCAGTCGGCTGTTAAGAATTCCTTTTTGCTTCCTTTGCTATAAAGTTCCTCTATATATCAAAGCAACTTACTATCAAGAACTCGTAGAAACCTAGAGAAAAAGTATTTAAAATGTAGTATTCTCAACGGGAGAGACGCAGAATATTTTGTTAGTCAAAAACACGACTTTAACTTTAAATAGTTAGTTCAAACTGCAGCTCTCCAAAATACATTACAAAGGTGTATATTTCAAGATGTTAGCTTTTGCATTCCTCTTTAATCATGATATTGTGAGGTGAATTGGAAGTTGGTATTTTGAGACTTTTCCAGTGAAGCCTTTTGTTTTGTTGAGCCTTGCCTTTTGCGCCTACGTGTTGTTTTGGTAGATTTATATTTTTTTTGGCTCAGCTCGAGGATTTCCTTATTACCGTGTTAGATACTTTAATCGCTTGTTATGGTTGGGAATAATTAGTTCCATAGGTGGTTGTGTTTGCGTTGGTAAAGCTGACCTTGAGTTTTACCCACACTGAAGTTCCTGTTTGCGTGCGCGATTCCTGTGCACAGCTGTTAGCGTTCAATTGGTTCCTTGGCGCTCGACGAATACGTCGGTGAGGGCCACCCAGTTTCCCCATTTTTGCAAAAGAAACGGATACACTATAGAAATTCTCATGGTAAGCTAACCCAAACATGTCTACGGTTTTCCTACTTAAGGCGTTGGTAATTCTCGTTAGAGAGAGAGAAGCGAAGCATCGCTGTAGTAGAAGTCAACTCCTTTGGGAGAGAATGAAAGAAAAGTACAGAGTCCTAATACCTATGGTTAATTTGGCTAAGCGAGAGGTACCCCCCCCCCTCAACATTGATGTTGATTATGGATGTTTGCTGCTTTTTTGTTAGCAATAGCAGAGGTGTACTTGAAGGATGGTGATAACGAGTACAGCAAAGGAGAGGCTTACAACGCGGTACACTTATATACAGAGGGACTGCAAGTGAATTGCAAAGACATCCAAGTCAACGCCGCGCTCTATAGCAACAGGGCAGCCGCGCAATTGCTTTTTGGTAAGAGTTGGTCGTTTGTTCCTAATATACCAATTTTATAAGGATTCAACACAATAGTTTACAGCACGAGTTATATGCGCAAAGAAACGCGTTTGTTGCTTTGCGAGTCGAACCACGCAACCTCATTAAAGTTAATAAGGGAAGCTTGACCAATTTAAGGAGTTTTGTGAAAGGGAGCATTAATCAGACAGGTCCAATGGATCTGATTGACTGGTAAGCTTAATAAAGCGCCGACGTAGACAAGTTCATGGCACGGCCCTGTCGCCAGCATCACGCATACTGGCCGATTTTCTATTCATCCCCTGGCTAATTCGAAGACGGATTGAATCAAAACCTGAAAGGTCTCTTATCACCCATCTTGAGAACTGCTTAGCGTATATGTACCTGTGATGTCCACAATTAATTAGCATACCGCTTAACTAACAGATAGTGCGTTATATACCCATAATAACCAATGGTAGGAGGTGAACCTTCAACTCTTAGATCAAAACAAAGGCCCAATATGATGTAGGTAGACAACTACCTAACTATGGTGTGTGCGATGAACAAGTGTGAAAAAATTTATGCCCGTACTCACTTGAAAATATGTTTTAGGAAATTATCAAGAAGCTTTGGATGATGCTACAGTTTCTGTTCAGTTAGAACCAACTTTCATAAAAGCCATAGAAAACGGTAGGTTCTTTGCATTTCCTAAGTTATGCAGAAGTTTTTTTCGTTTTCCTACAACGTATAAAGTTTGTACTTCAGGCTTATTGACCATGCAGGCAAAAGCCTCCAGACAAGCATGGCCCTTCCTCCAAATGTAAATTGAAATTTTCAGCGCGAGTAAATTTTTCAAAGGCTAACCAAATATCATGAGCCTGTAGTGCGAAAGAGATCTGTAGTCCTTAAAAATTTATAAGGGCCAATTTATGCCAAACTGCACGAGAAAGGTCATGTGATTACTAATTAATTATGTATAAGCAAAAATACGTCTATGTTTTCCTCTTAAGTTGTTTTTATTTCGAGTCATGGCTCTCTGGTTCGGCCGCTTGCCTCTACTTTGTCGCCGGAGTAGGCGAGATTTTGCCTTAAAAAACTTGCTTCAATCTTTTAAACTCTCTATTACTAATAATCAAGCGTTTGCACTCTTTCTCTGTTTGGTATTAGTCGACTGTACTAACCATTACACGAAAGCTGTACCGCTCGTAATCATCCCCGTCTTACGTACTAACTGTTGCCTCGGGCGTCGGGTTCACACTTTACATAGCCGTTTTGGGAAGCCCAAGACTTCCAGACTTTTATCCAGTTGTTTGTCCTTCGCAGGATGTTTTTCGTTTTTTGGCATTCTCCCTCACACTGTGAATTAAAACGTGGTAACTTTCTCCTCACCTTTCCTCTATGCTGTTTTTCGTTCTTTCGCGACTTACCTGTCATCAATTTAACCTCAACTTTCTATACTCAACTTCAACTTCTTTGCGGCTGCTGTCTCCTATAGAATAGAGATGATAAGTAACAATAGAATTTCGATCTTGACCTGATATTTCCCGATGCTACCTATTATTTATTTTTTTTTTTTCAGAGTATCCTATTAGCTCGACATTCGCTGCACTCGATACACATTTGAGTTGCCTCCTCCTTTGATTTCTGGCTCATAGCTACTAGCACAATATGTTTTCAGTTCTTGTCGTGACACTCCAAAAGACGATAAACATCTCAAAATAATTTCGATCTCGTCGAAGCGTAATTTTAATTAGCGAACAAAAAAACCTTTTTGTTGCAGAAATATCTAAATAGGTGTGATCTGCACATCATGGAAACTTTGAGGACAATTTTTTTCATCGGAGAGAGAGCATTTTATGATTTGAATTAGCAACGTCTACCCAAAAGGACTGCTAAATTTGCGACGCAAGCAAGGTGCTAAATACGCTAGCTTGAGTTATTAGATGAAAATAAAGGAACGGTGGAACTGCTGAACGGCAAAACGGCGGAATATGCTTAAGCATGGAATGACGGAATATCCTAAAAAAGCACAATGACAGAATAAATTAAACGCAGAATGCCTTGTTGTATGAGACAAAAGTCTGACAAAAATGGAATTGCGATGAAATAATAAAACTATTTAATGGTAACAGGCAAAATTAAAATAATCGTGGTTAAATGATTATTGGAGCCCAGAGGACAGAGAAACCATGAAGTTTTTTTGCAAGCCTCTATAATTATTATTATTACTATCTGTTGCCGCCATGTTGTGATGTTATTTGTTGTCAAATACGTATTCCTTTTTTTCTTTCCGTCACATTTTCATCAAGTTCGTTTGTTTCTACGCTCGATATTTTCTACGGTATTCCGTTACCTTTTTTCGAATAATTTCTCGTTATTTGTATATCCGTATAATTTCTGTTGTGTAAAGTTTTAGTCATTCGAGCTTTATCATTTAACCGTGTTCCACCATTGCTTTTTGTTTTTTGTATCGTCTCAAGTTAGCATTTCGCCGGAATCTCGTACAATCTACATACAAGTTTTTCAATTTCTTTATGTATAATTGTAGTAAGTTACTGTTTATAATTTTGTTTTAGCAACAGCTCCGCTTCGCTTCGTTTTGTTGTATTTGTTATATCAAAGAGCGTGTATCAGTTGAACATGTGCGAGTGCTTTTGGCCGCCATACTATCGTTATCATTCTTACTATTATTAATATCATTATTTGCCACCATCTAATTATTGCTTAGATGTCAATTGGTTACTTCATTTTTTAATCGTCTTTCTCATGTGGAACAGGGTACTCATAAATATGTGAAATGCTTCAGGTTTTCTGTTTCCATGTGAACAACACTACCTTCTATCATTATTGTACAACCTCTATTTCTCTTCAATTGCTACATCAGTAGCCACATGCAGTCTCAGACAAAATGTCAACTTTCTGCATCGTTTGGGATTAATTGACGTGTTCTCGACCCATGAGCATGCTGAAAGTTTTTCCCGTACATTTATAATTAATAAATCCTAGTCAAAGTTTGTTTAAAGGTTCAAGCTGTAAGTATTGATAGTTTCATAAAAAGACTAGTCTCATTTTAACGTTTCTTCACCGACGTGTATTTGCTACTGGGTCTCGAGTCGTAATTTCATTTTGATTACTTTGATACAACTTTCGGTATAATTATTTAGTATGGGCAATGGGAAGAAAAACCAGCGATATTAAATGACGTTTCGACGGCTCCATGCCATCATTCTCATTGTTCAAGAGACTTGAACAACTTAGTATCAAACAACTCAACTGCGATGGAGCGATCGGATTCCTTCGGCTTTGTCAGAATTTTAATCTCACCCCAGGGCTCGCTAGGGTGGATGAAACGTAATCTGCTAAGTGGAAGCAGTCTTCGAAGCAATTTGCTGAGAATGTCATCATCGAGGAACTTTGCTGGAAGTTTCGGTAGAATGTGGTCTTGAAGAAACAGATCAACGAAATCTACGATTAGACTCGTCAAACATGCTCATCCCTTCGCTATTTATATATCATGAAAATGATGGCCTTTCTTCGTAGGAAAAGGTATAAGAAAGTCGTGAACAACCATAATTCAAAAATCGCAAGGATGTTACGCAGAGACGTGGATGTTGACGAGCATATCCAGAACATACCATCCCATCAGCTAACATTTTTTCAGAAACTTGTACTATGCCGAGGTCTCAAGTCTGCTATTCCTTTTGACTATGTTGAATCGTGCACATCGACCCTCAACTTCACCTGACCTTTTCGCTGCCGAATCTGACAACCTGAAAGAGATCTTTCTAAAGCTTGAGTACCCTGAGAGACTCATCAACTGTGCAATCACCAGATTCATCGAGTCTCAAGACCGAAAACAGGTGCTTGAGGTTAATAAGCCTGTTCGAATCATTATACCATTTAAAGATCAACAGCCAGCCGACTTAGTACGAGGACAGCTGTCCAATCTCGCGAAGAAAATGAACACCGATTTGTGCCCAGTGTTTACGAGCAAGAAAATTGATGATGAGATCAAAGTGACGGAACCCAAACCACCTCTTGTTAACGAACAATGCATTGTTTATGAATACAAATGTCATCTGTGCAATGCAGATTATGTGGGCTATACGTGCCGATGCCTACATAACTCAGCGCATCAATGAGCACAAGCATTCTGTCATAGGTAAACACCTTCGGGACGTACACAATATAAGGAAGAAAGATCTTCATGACCAATTCACCATCCTCAAGAAATGCTGTCAGAAGCTGGATTGTTTAACTGAATTTATGAAATGCTCTTCATCAAAGACAGAAAACCGACACTTAACACTCAATCTGACTCCATCAAAACAAAGCTTTTTATCCGACAGTTCAAGCGCACCACCCTTGTATTTTATTAACCTATTTTTATCTTTTATTTATCGTTTTCTACTTCTTAATCATATGCATTGAGACCTTCACACGTACTTTAACTATATAATGAACTCGCAAATGTATTTTTTTTTGGATTGAAGATTGATGGCATAGAGCCGTCGTAACGTCACTCTTTAATGTCGCTGGTTTTTATCCTTAATTGCTTATCGAAAACTTTAGTTATTGCAATGGCAAGAATTATAATTATTCGCTATTGATCATAATTACAAATATTCCAGTTTCCTTTTCTTAAGGGGCCAGTGCATGTGAGCAGCTTCACTTCTATCAAGAAGCCATTGGCTGGTGTCAGAAAGGATTAGCAGTATCCTTTGACGAATATGAAGATTTTTGTCACTCAGGTACCTAAGTCAAAAAGTGTAAAGTAGACGCTACTTTTACGCTGTTGACTGTGATGAATATAAAGACCTTTGGTTACCCGGTGACTTGTATTTTAGACGGCTAACAATAACAGATTTCATCTTAAACAAAGCCTTTGCCTGAATGGGTGACTTTTAAACACCTCCGTATATCTAAACCAGTCTTCCTTCCCTTCTATTTACTGAGGAAATAGATTCAAGAGACAAACAAGGGTTTATAGGCTGACCACTCAGAATCACGCATGTATTTTTTCCCAAATGTGGAAACGGAGGTTAGAGAAATATTATGTCACGAAAGGTTATGAATGGGAATAACTCAGTTGATGAATATAGAAGCTTATATGGTAAAATGCGCAGATGACTCCGCACACTTTTTGTTGCAAGTTTTGTTTGTGGCACCATCGGTGAGGGTGGACCAGTTGACATTGGTGTTGACAGTTTCCTGGTGAGGGCATGTGAGGGCAGAGGACTTGAGAGCTTGCAATCGTGGGGGTACTGGTAGTTTTGCTCGAGATCACTGCTCCCACTGCTGCTGCTTCTGTTACTACCATCATTATCACTACCAGTGATAGAAGTTGTAGAAGTTGGAATATTTCTGGTTGTATAACTTTTAGCTCTAGCGGCTAATTTCAATTGCTCTAGACTGAACGCTGACATGAGCCTGGTTGTGTTTGAACTTTTATTGTGCCAAAAAACGACGCGAAACTCTTTTTACAAGTAAAGTCTTTGACTTGACCTTATAAAGATGGACCACAACAACAAGAAGTTACTTGATTTGTGGACCCAATGTGTTACTGAGTCAACTGATGGGACAGATGAATCAGGAAGTAAACAGGAAGTAAAGACTAACCGTGACAAAAACAGCGCAGAAAGCGAGGTACGTGAACAGTTACCACATCAAAATTTAATGAAAACCAATGCGCAACACGGAAAGGGGCGCTCGATTGGTGTGATTTCATGGAAGACGGACCAGTTCGACGTTTCCATAGATGTAAAAAAGTAGTTTCTATGTTTGCGATCTCTGGAGTATGTTTAAATCTGAGGCATTCTGGCAGTTGTATTTTGTACAAGGCATTGTCCGAGCGTTGTCCACCTATTAATTTAACTCTGATAGTCTTAATCTGCTATTTATAATGATTTAATTTATTTAATCAGTTTTCATAGACTCTTAAGTCCTGTATGTAAACCTCGAAAAACGACTACCGGGTCAAAAGATTTTTCACCTGGAAATGCCTTAAAGAGTAATGTCCTCAGTACACGCCCAGCTGGCACGGTTGGATAAATTTAGCTGCACCACATAAGCTCGCAAGTCCGCCTCATATAATTAGCTATCTACAGAAGTAATTAAGGATAGGTCAGCCAAGGGGTAAACAGGCCTTATTTGCAATTTAAATTAGTACTTTTTAGTATGTAAGTACTATACTTCTATAGTTTTATGTAGCTCCATTACTAAATCTTTTTAAAAACTTTTACATAGTTGCAAGTTTACGGATCTTACTCGCAATTTAACCTAGTTTTTATAGGTTTAATAGTTATATAATTTTATGCAGTTCCATAATACTACAGCATTTTAAACATTTTTATAAAGCTTCTAGGTTTATTTATCTATCTTTTCTTTCCTGACTGACCTGTAAAATTTACACAGCTAAGTCTCAGCCACGTTAATAAAGTATGTCTATGTAACTATGTCTGTTTCATGTCTGTAGGTAATTCAAATATTTCTAACTTCAAACCTTAGGATATAAAAGTCAACAAACAACTATCTCAAACAGCTATCAAGAAGGTCCTCCATCACGAGAAAAATTTGCATCTTTCTATCAAAGTGCGAGAAAAACCTGGACAGGGAAATAGTTATGGCGATCTCGGCAATGGTTATGATAGCCTAGGAGATTTCCAAAGGGCCATCCAGTATCATGAGTGCCATCTAAAAGTTGCCAAAGAAGAGGGAGAAAAGGCTGGAGAGGGACAGAGTTACTGCAATCTCGGCAATGCTTATAATAGCCTAGGAGATTTCCAAAGAGCCATCCAGTATCATGAGCGTGATCTAGAAAGTGCCAAAGAAGTGGGAGACAAGGCTGGAGAGGGAAAGAGCTACGGCAATCTCGGCAATGCTTATCAGAGCCTAGGAGATTTCGAAAGAGCCATCCAGTATCATGAGCGTTGTCTAAAAATTGCCAAGGGAGTGGGAGACAAGGCTGGAGAGGGAAAAAGTTACTGCAATCTCGGCAATGCTTATGATAGCCTAGGAGATTTCCAAAGAGCCATCCAGTATCATGAGCGTCATCTAAAAATTGCCAAAGAAGTGGGAGACAAGGCTGGAGAGGGAAAGAGTTACCCGTT